ATATGTATACAATAATAATTAGCCAAATGTCATATCTTAAAATGATCAAGCCTATAAACATTATTGAGCAAAAACTCATAAGGATCATGGTGGTCATATGTAGGGTTACAAAAAAAAAAAAAATCAAAAATCGAATCGAACTGAACCAAAAAACTGGATCGAAATCGGTCTGAAAAATCAGTTTTTTAAAGTAATCAATTTGGTTTTTAAAATTGAAAAAATCAAAAAACCGATTCGATTAGCGGTTTAAGTATAATTTTAAATCGATTAATCGAAACGGTTTTTTTTTTTTTTTAAATTTAAATGTAAAACCAAAAAGAGGGAGAGAGTTAAAAAAATAAGAATCAAAATATAAAAGACACTGCATTTAATTGTTGCGGCATTGCATTTAATTCCTTGCCTCCTTGGAACTCTAGCCATCTTTAATTAAAATTTAAAAGGCTCCACTCACGTTTTCAAATACCGCACCACCTCTCACAGTCCCCAGTTGGCCCCTACTTATCTTCACTCCTCCTACTACTATTACCAACACCATTTTTTTCTTCCACAATAACCATTATTTCACATTTTAAATCCAGATGCTAAGTTGTGTTTGGTTGTCGGTGACGTGCGGCAATCTAGATCAAAGCCTTTGCCGGTTGGTTGCGAAGCCTCTCTTCCCCACATCTATTCACCTATCCTTAACCAACCCACTCTCATCTCTCATTTTCTTTAACCATCGGATCTATAGCAAATGGGTTTCTTAGTTTTAAGTTTTTTATTTTCTTTGGTTTTTCCTTTATGAATCCATGATTTTTGTCTTGTAAATGCAATTGGGAAGTTAAAATATTGAGGAGAATAGTGTTAAAAGATTGGGAATAAAGTTGGGATTATTTTGCAGTTTTAAATTTTGTTGATTATTGTTGTGAGAATGGAGATAGTGAATAAGTTATGTTATAAAATTGTTCTGGGATTTAAGATTTTGTATGAAACCGGTTTAAAACCGGTTAACCCTTTTTAAAACCGAATTATTGGTTCGGTTAAAAATCGGTTCATATGATATTCCAGTTCGGTTTCGGTTCGAAATATTGCTTGAACTGAAAAACCGGCTCTGTTAAAAAAACACCCCATCCGGTTCAGTTAACCAGATTTCCACATCCCTAGTCATTTGTCATTGAATCAACACAATCATTTTCCATGTATCACGTTACAAATTTTATATTGAGAATGATTTATAATAATTCTTAATGGTCCAACAATAACATCCTTATCAAGGATAAATACTGTCATCTTTATCATTCATGTATACCAAACAATATAATATAAAGAAACATACAACAGAATAATTTATATGAATAAGAAACAACACATCAAGAGCTCATAGTGTCTAAAACAGGAGGAGCATAATGTAAATCAATAAATGTATACAACACATTACAAATCAATCATGACGGGCAATAATACCCATCCTCTCAACATGCTTACTATAAGTCTTAGGTAATAACCTTTTAGTTAGTAGATCCGCTATCATAAAATTTGTGCTAATATGCTCAATAGTCACTCTCTGTTTCTGAACTTTTTCTTTAATGGCAAAATATTTCAATTCCATATGTTTAGCACCCTTTAAATATTTGTCGTTTTTAGAAAAGAAAACTGTTGCAGCATTATTACAATAGATTTTCAGTTGCCTGGCAATAATATCGACAATCCTAAGCCCTAAAATAAAATTCCGCAGTCATAATCCCTGAACTATGGCCTCAAAGCATGCCACAAACTCAACCTCCATAATGGAAGTCGTAATGACAGACTGCTTCGCACTTTCCCACGAAAATGCTCCTCCAGCTAACATAAATACGTACCCAAATGTGGATTTCTTGGTGTCTGCACAACCAACAAAATCTGAATTTGAAAATCCAATTACCTCAAGATAATCAGATCTCCTATAGGTAAACATATGATCCTTCGTCCCTCGTAAATATCTCAACACTTTCTTTGTAGGTCACCAATGATCCATTCCAAGATTACTCTGATATCCGCCCAGCAAGCCGACTGCAAAACTAATGTTTGGTCTGGTACATGTCTGAGCATACATTAAACTTCCGACAACAAATGCATAAGGAATATGCTCCATTTGCTTATGTTCCAATTCAATCTGTGGGTATTGCTTAAGGCTCAACTTATCACCTTTCTGAATTAGAACTGGACTCGCAGAGCACTTATCTATATTATATCTCTCCAGAACTTTGTTGATATAAGCTTTTTGAGATAATCCCAACAATCCTTGTGATCTATCACGAATAATTTCAATTCCAATCACATGGGATGCCTTACCCATATCTTTCATCTCAAAGTTCTTAGAGAGAAACTTCTTAGTTTCATACATCATGCCAAGATTAATAGTAGCAAGCAAGATGTCATCAATATACAGAACTAGAACTGCAAATGTACTCCCACTGACCTTCAGATATATACACTGATCAACCGTGTTTTCCTTAAATCCGAAAGTGGTAATGGTATTGTGAAACTTGAGGTACCACTATCTGGAAGCTTGTTTCAGTCTATATATTGATCTCTTTAATTTACACACCATGTGTTCCTTCTTTTCGATTGAAAAACCATCAGGTTGTTCCATGTACACTTCTTCTAGATTCTCATTCAGAAAGGCAGTTTTCACATCCATTTGATAAAACTCCAGATCATAATGGGCTACCATTGCCATAATAATTCTAAAAGAGTCATTTGAGGAAACTGGTGAAAAAGTCTCGTTGTAATCAATACCATCTTTCTGAGTAAAACCTTTGGCACCAAATCTGGCCTTGTAACGTTCAATATTGCCATTAAAGTCGTGCTTGGTCTTAAAGACCTATTTACACCCGACTGTTCTACAACCTTCAGGCAATACTACTAAATCCCAGACTTCATTGTATTCTATTGATTTTAACTCTTCTTTTATGGCGTCTAACCACTTTACAGAATTATCACTTTGAAGGGCTTGTGAAAACGAAATTGGATATGCTTCCATTCCCAAGTCAAATTCCGATTCTTGAAGATAACCACATAATCACTAGTAATGGTAGATCTCCTTTGTCTTTGAGATCTTCTTAATGTCATTTATTGTATTCATTTGCTACTTCATGTGGCTCATCTATTACAGGTTCATTGACTGCTACATTATAAGAGGTGTTTATTCAATTATTTGTTGTTCTTGATTATTATCAGAGCGTCTGATAACTACAGGAATCACAACCTCAGTAGAAGTCATTGGTGCAAGAACCTGTACCTTGACTTATTGAATATCCACTTTACGTGGTTCAACACTAGTTTCACCATTCTCAATAAACCTTGCATTTCCAGTTTCAACTATTCTCGTACTATGGTTAGTATAGTAAAAACGTTACCCTTTAGATTTTTCTGGATAACCAATAAAAAATCTACTGATCGTTCTTGAATCCAGTTTCTTTTCATGTGGATTATAACATGTAGGTGCCTCAAACATGTAGGTGCCTTAAACTGGGTTTCTTTCTTGTCCACAGTTCAAAAGGAGTCTTTGGAATTGCCTTACTAGGAACGCTGTTTAATAAATATATAGCAGTCTTTAATGCATATATCCACAATGATGAAGGTAACAAGAAGTTACTCAACATACTCCTAACCATATCCATTAACGTACAATTACGACTTTCTGTAATACCATTTTGTTGTGGTGTCCCTAACATTGTGTATTGAGCACATATGCCTCGACTTTCTAGGAATTTAGCAAATGGACCTAGACATTGTCTAGATTCATTGTATCTACCATAATATTCATCACCTCTATCTGATCATATTATTTTCACCTTTCTATCTAATTGCCTCTCAACTTCAGTAATGAATACCTCTAGGATATTAATAGATTGAGATTTCTCACGTAATAAATAGACATATCCATAACGTGAAAAGTCTTCTATAAAAGTGATGAAATATCTTTTCCCACTAAAAGAAGGTACGTCGAAAGGACCATATATATCTGTGTGTATTAGTTCAAGGAGTCCTGTGCTTCTAGTGCTGACTTTCTTAACTGTGGATGTGGCTTGTTTTCCCATAATACAATCCACACAATTGCCAAGATCAGTAAAATCCAAATCAGGTAAAACTTCATTCTTTACCATCTTTGCATTCTTTCTTTTGATATATGACCTAAACGTTTATGCCATAAATAAGCAGATTTCTCATCCACAGAAGCATGTTTTGTTCCTATATTATGATGCAGGGTCAACAATGTCTCAACAAATAAACTATCAAGATGTAATTTATACAACCATCAAAAAGCACACTAGAACCAATTAAACAATTATGTTTAAGTAAACTGAAACATCAATTCCCGAATTTAAAAGAATATCCTTCTAAATCAAGTTTAGATAAAGATATCAAATTACGGGATAACTCCAGTACATAAAGAATATTAAACAAATCTAAATGATGTCCAATACTTAAAATTAAACGATAAGTTCTAACGGCTTCAACTCGTGCTTTGACTAGATTTCCCATGTATATAAATCTTTCATTGTCGTTTATGGTTTGGATCATAAGGAATCCCTGCATAGTATTAGAAATATGAGTGGTACATCCAAAATCAATCCACCAAGTATATAAGGAACTTTTGACAAATACAATTCGAAACATACAAAAGCACTAGACTTACCTTTCTTTTCAAACCATGCCTTACGTTTCGAGCAATCTCTCATGTAGTGTCCAACTTTCTTATAGAAATGACGTTTTTCTTTAGTCTTGTCCTTCTTATGGATTTGGGCAAAAGACTCTTCAATCTTCAGTGGCCTTTTGCCCTTTCCATACCTCTTGTTGGATTTTTTCGTAACTCCAGACGGGCCCACAAAATTAAATAAATGAACTCCTTGTTTCTTCAATCTTTCCTCCTCTTGTACTAACTTAGTTTGAAGCTCAGTTATCATCCATTTATCTTTAATTGTATTATAATTAATTTGAAAAGGACTAAATTGAGAAGGTAAAGAGTTAATAACAAACTAAACTAATAAATTTTTGTCCATAGACAGTCCCATATTTCTGATTCCTGTTGCTATATTTGACATCTTAGTCACATGCTCATACATGCTACGAGAACCATCATATTTCATGGTGGTCAGCTTGCTTATTAGTGCCCCAGCATGGGACTTGTCAACGACCTTAGACTGAGAAGTCTCTTTGGCTAATCTCATAAATTTCTTAGCATATTCTGTGGCGGGAAATGAGGTCTTAATTTCACTTGCCATTGTCATCCGTAAAAATTTCAGGCTCAATCTATTCGATCTCTCCCATTTTTTATGGAAAGACCTCTCCTCATCAGTGCTGTTTTCAGTGAGATCAGTTGGTTTCTCTGTCATGAGTGCAAGGTCGAGATTCTGAACGCCCAAGTAATACTCGACTTGCTCACTCCACTCATTATAATTGAACCCATTGAACTTAACAACATATGAGGCATGAAAAGTAGATGTTGCAAAAATAAAATTATGTTTACACATTAATGCTTTGAGTTTTATACCTAATACGTAATTTCAGGTTCAGATAATAAAATCTATTACTATTAAAACATAAATGTATATTGAAAATCTCCTTTAGGAGATATAACAATATACGATAATTAAACTTAATTGATGCAATTTTCTTAATTGGTAATCAAATGTACTTTCGTTAAATATGTTCGTTATTTTTGGATATTAAACACACCTAGTCAAGTACATTAATTAACCACAGTTATGTTTATAATTATAGGATTAACTAATCTACCTTTGGGCAACCCTTAACTATCCTATAATTTATGAACTTTAAATTACTCATATCAACTACATCATGTCATCTCTTTAAAGCATCTAACGATCATAAGTAATTAAATCTAACTTAGTTTGATATCTATAGGATAACCATTCTAATTTGGCCACTTTGGTGACTAATAAATTATACATAATATAGTATCAAACTTAAATAATAATTATAATATTATCCAAGGTCAAAATTGGGTCAATTCGACCTGTTGACTGTTAATTTTGACCGTTGACCATTAATTTTGACCATTGACCATTAACTTTGATGGTTGACCGTTAACTTTGACGGTTGATTGTTAACTTTGATGGTTTGGAGTAGTTTGACTCATTTACCGATCCGAATGGCTAATTGGATCGGGTTTACTTGTTTGATTAAATAGGTTGGGCTTCTTTATGGGTTATTCTTAATGGGTTTAGGTTTAGGTTTGAATTTTCTTAATGGGTTTGAGTTTGAATTGGGCTTACTTAAAAATATGGCTTGAGCTTCTTTTATTTAGGTTTATATAAACTAAAGCAAATAGGCTTTAAAGAAAAAATGGGCTGGATCAATATATGGGTCAATATAGGCATGGCAATGTTCCTCGGAATTTCGGGGACCCATCCCGCCTCGGTTTTTTTGGGGATAGGGGCAGGGGTGGGGTATAAAATATATAAAATTAAAAAAATTGTATATATATACACCCTTATATTTCACCTAATTACACAATTATCCTACCTATATAAACCCATATTTTTCCAATTTCCCTCACCCTAAACAATTGAACAAGAACAAACCCTAACCCATATTTATGTAAAATTAAATATGTTTAAACGATTAATTTAAGTGTTTGTCATGTGGACGAGAATTAACTATTGTGTTTGGTAATGCTCAAATTAATTATGTTTATGTAAAATTAATGGGGCGAGGACGGGTCTCCAACATTCCCCTTTGGGGCGGGGAAGGGGAATTCATGTCATCCCCGTAAAGGGGATGGGGCAGGGGTGGGGAGTGATTTTGAGGACGGGGATGGGTACGGTGAATGAGATCCCCGCCCCGCCCCATTGCCATGCCTAGGTCAATATGTGACCTGAGTTTCTGGAAAAATCTTGGAATCCGAATTTTTGGAAATTTTTATTGAAAAAACTAGTCTGGAAAATCACGTTTCATCATAAGAAAATCTGATTTCGGCCTACTTTCCAACCAGTTAATAGATTCACAAACTCAATCAAATTTATAAACCCAATCAAATTTAACAGCACTTTATATTTGTCAATTTCTTCATCCCATAAGAACCCTAATATATTGAAAAAACAACTTAATGGAAAATACATCAGTTTCTAAACCTTGCTCTGATACCACATGTAAAAAAAAAAAAAAAAAAAAAAAAAAAAAAAACTTAATAGCAATTTTATCAATTCCATCAATGGAAAGAATCAATAATATAATGATAGACCACAATGATCACAGAGGCAACCAAAACCCCATCCCAAGTATCAGAATGGAGTTTGAAATGGGCAAGAGCCAAAAGTCTTGCATGCATGGGACTAAGGGGCGAGTGGAGTTTGACGTGGAGCAGAATTCTATGGGCATGTGGGAGGATTGAATCATATCCAGTTGAGAAGTTACAGCTGCCACGTTGTGCATGATTTTTTCGCAATTTACTTCTTTCGTTGCACATGTTAATTTGTTGGTTTATGTTGCATTTATTTCGGCATCAGGAGATCATGTTAATTTTGTTGGTTTATGTTGCATTTATTTCAGTAGCAAGAGCATGGCTTTTCTTATTTAAAGTAGCCATGGTTTATCATTAGGGAATATATATATCTAGTTTGCAATTGGGTTCATTCTCACCCAAAGAGAATTTATCTTAATTTATTTAAGTCTGTGACCTATCATTGGTATCAGAGCCTGACTAATGGGGACCAACAAGGAGCGAATTGAGCACTTGGAAACTGGACTCGGTGCTTTGCAAAAGGGACTGCAACAGATAGAGCTTAGGATAACTAGCAGATTCTATCACTTGGAAGAAGTCCTTGATCACCTCTAAAATGTTTTGCTTACGAACCAAGAGTCACCCAGCTACGGCAACCGCGTTAGGGAGAATCAGGAAGGAGGCTGGCAAATCGTCTCTTTTAAGATGGCAAAGCTTGAGTTTCCATGATTTTCAGGGGACGACCCTACAGAATGGTTCAATCGTGTGAACCAATTCTTTGAATATCAAGGCACTGTAGAAACTCAAAAGGTCCCCATGGCAACATACCATCTGGAAGGGGAAGCCAACCAGTGGTGGTAGTGGATCAGAAGAACGTTAAGGGAAGAAGAACACAAGATTTCCTGTGAGAAATTCGAAGAGGAACTTTGGGCTTGCTTTGGGCCATTAGAATGTGAGGATTTTGACGAGGCTCTCTCTCCGGTTAGGCAAACTAGAACTTAAGGGATTATTAGTGCGAGTTTGAGAAGCTCAACAATAGAGTGCGAGGATGGACGCAGAAGGCAATGGTAGGAACTTTCATGGGAGGATTAAAGACAGAAATAACAGATGGTATCCGAATGTTCAAACCACAATCCCTCAAAGACGCCATCAATCTGGCTCGGATGAGAGATGACCAACTCTCACAATAGCGAATGAATATGGACCCAACCTGCAAGAGGTCCGCTAACCTTACCACAGGACACTCGAGGAAATTCTGTTAACCCTGCAGTTCCTATCCATCGCTTATCATGGGGCGAAATGTGGAAGAGGAGATCATAAGATCTTTGTTTCAATTGCAATGAACGCTTCACTGCAAGGCATAGGTGCCTAAAGCCCCAGTTGCTGCTTTTGGAAGGGTATGTGGGAAACATGGTGCATGAAGACTTCACCATCCAACCAACACCAGAATTTGATCACAATGGAGATGCAGCAACATCGCAAGAACCTAAATTTGAACCAGAAATCACATTGCATGTGTTCATTGGATGGATGGCACCAAGGACAATGTGCATGATGGCCAAGATGGGTTCGCTTGAGGTGTCTGTGTTGATTGACAGCGGATCGACCCACAAGTTTATTAGTGAGCGATTGGCAATCAAACTTCGTTTGCTAGTGGTTCCTATAGAAGAATTCTTTGTCAAGGTGGCCAACGGAGAAAAATTAAAATGCTAGGGACGATTCGATAAAGTATGAGTGAAATTACAAGGCATTGAATTTTATCTCACACTTTTCTCTTTACCCTTAACAAGTCTTGACCTTGTGTTGGGTATACAACGGCTTGAGAAATTGGGGTCTGTGATTTGCAATTGGAGGCAATTGACTATGGAGTTCACATGGGAGAATAAAAAATGCAAGCTACAAAGGGATGACATTGAAACAATTCGGGAGGCCACTTTGAAGGAAATCACAAAATATCACAGGACAATTGTGGTACGTTTTGAAATAAACATGGACACAGCAACATCTTTTGAGTTATCCGAAGAAAATCAACAGGAGATGAGACCACTGCTTCAAGAATACAAGGACGTGTTCCAGGAGCCTTCAGAACTCCATCCTGCATGAGAGATTACTAACTGCATCATGCTCAAAGAAGGGACGGAACCAGTCAACGTCCGCCCATATAGATATGCCCATTTCCAAAATGAGGAAATTGAGAAGCAAGTGCAAGAGATGCTGAATTCAAGACTCATTCATCCGAGCACTAGCCCATTTTCCTCAACGGTGTTACTAGTAAAGAAAAAAGATGGCAGTTGGAGGTTTTGTACAGATTATCGCTGACTTAACCTCGCCACCATCAAGGATCGATTTCCAATTCCAATGGTGGACGACATGTTGGACGAATTACATGGCACCTCTTATTTCACCAAGCTTGATCTAAGAGCAGGTTACCACCAAGTGAGGGTAAACTCTCCTGACATCCCTAAAATTGCATTTCGCACTCACAACGGGCATTACGAATATCTAGTAATGCCTTTTGGGCTATGCAACACGCCATCTACATTTCAGGCCATCGTGAACTCAATATGCAAACCTTATCTTTGGAAGTTCATCTTAGTCTTCTTCGATGACATCCTAATATACAATCCTTCTTGGTAGTAACATGTGATGCATGTCAAAAAAGCCCTATAGGTATTGAGATAGCACAAGTTCTTTGTCAAGGCAAGCAAGTGTGCATTCGGTCAGTAAGAGTTGGATTATTTGGGACACATTGTCACGGCTTAGAGACTGAAGGTCGACGACAAGAAAATTGCAGCCATGATTGCATGGCCACCTCCTGCTAACATCACTAAATTGCATGGATTTTTGGGTTTGATAGGTTATTATAGGAAGTTTGTGCGAAATTATGGCATCATTGCACGCCCTCTCACCAACTTACTCAAAAAAGGGAAATTCGGGTGGCCTGAGGAAGCAGAAGCCGCCTTCTTGGCTCTTAAGCAAGCCATGATCACCACTCCCACCCTGGCCATGCCCAATTTTAGTGAATCTTTCACCATTGAAACTGATGTATCAGGAGAAGGAATAGGCGCAGTACTAACACAACAGGGTAGACCCATCACCTTTATGAGCGCACATTGGGAGTTGCAAAGAAAACTTGGTCAGTCTATGCCAAGGAGATGCCTGCGATTGTAGAGGCAATACGCCTATGGCGTCCCTAGCTATTAGGAAGAAAATTCTACATTCAGACGGATCAGAGCAGCTTGAAGTTTTTCAGTGAGCAACGAACGATAGCTTCGGAGTAGCAAAAATGGGTAGCCATATTGATGGGCTACAATTATGAAATAACCCATCAACTTGGCTGAAAAAATTCAACCACAGATGCCCTCTCATGCATGCCTCACAACCTAGTTCTCCATCAAATGCACGTGGCCATCGTCTCTATATGGGATGAGATACGAAAAACATCTAATGGGGACCTTTACATTCAGTCACTTGATCAGGCAATTAAGGCACAGCCCGAAGGTCCATACTTCCAACGTCACAGGCTAATTTTCTTTATAGGAAGAGTGGTGATTCCTTCATAAAAGGAGCTAAGGAACAAATTAATGCATAAGGATCACAACACCAAGATGGGAAGACATTCAGGAGTACTGCAGACTTACAAGAGATTGGCCTAACAATTCTATTGGCCAAAAATGCATCAAACAATACAGGAGTACGTGTGGCAGTGTGATATTTGTCAACGAATGAAATCAGAATCACTCTCTCCTGCAGGTCTCTTACAACCAATTCCCATTCCTTGCCAAGTATGGGAGGATGTCACTCTCGACTTTGTAGAAGAACTACCCACATCTCATGGTCCTAGTTAGTAAATGCAGGTATGACAAAAAAAGGTACGGAAATTTTACAGATATGATACGGTAAATGGTGAAAAATTCGGTCATAAAATTTGGATACGAAAAAAATACGGTACGGGTATATACGGGTTTAATACGGCACATTGTCAAAAATATGTTTTGAAAAATACGGCAATATCAATCCTAGTTTTAGCATTTTTCATGGGCCATTTGGTTAAAATCTATATAGCATTTCAAATATACAGGTACGACAAAAAAAGGGTACGGGAATTTTACGGGTATGATATGGCAAACGGTGAAAAATATGTTTGTAAAAATTTGGCAAAAATTTGGATACAAGAATAATTTGCAAATAATATGGCTGAGGCATATAATTCGCAAATAATACGGCTGAGCTAATAAAATACGGCAGTTCACGAATAATATGTGAATTATATGACTGGGCGTATAATTTGCGAATTTACTAACTAGGCTCATGGCAAGGACACCATCTTGGTGGTCGTGACAGGTTGAGTAAATCTGCCTATTTTCTCACCTTAACTCACCTGTTTACCACTAAAAGTGTGGCAGAAAAATTCGTGGAAGGACTTATCAAGCTACATGGCCTACCTCAGTCCATTATCAGTGACCGAGACCCAATCTTCATCAGCAGATTATGGCAAGAATTCTTTCAAATGTCAGGGACTAAATTGCAGCTAAGTTCCGCCTACCATCCGCAAATCGATGGCCAAACCAAAGTTTTCAACCCTAAACCCTACCTCCCTTGGGTTGAGCTCTGGTATAACACCACCTACCATGCCTCAACAGGATTGACATCGTTCCGAGCATTGTATGGCCGCTTGCCACCCACCATTCCCATCTATTTAGTTGGGCTGTCTCCTGTACATGAAGTGGACTAGAGTCTCCTTACAAGAGATGAGTTGCTTCGACAACTCAAGACTAACCTAGAAGTTTCCATTAACCACATGAAACAAACAACGGATCATAAGCGACGTGAAGTCACCTTTGAAGTAGGTGATCTGGTGTATCTTAGTTTGCATCCATATCGGCAACAGTTAGCATTTAAACGGGTTCATAGAAATTGGCAAGCCGGTGTTGTGGATCGTACCCAGTGATGCAACGAATCGGAACAGTGGCATATAAATTGTAACTGTCGGAAGGAACTCGAATTCATCCAGTCTTTCATGTGTCCTTACTAAAAAAGTTCATTGGCGATCGAGCTTTGGCTTCCCAGAACTTGCCGCCATTGAATGAAGACGGAGTTGTCATATTGGAGCCCAAGCAAATTTTGGAGACACGTTGGGTCAAATGGGGACATAAGTTTGAGGAAGAAGTGCTGGTTCAGTGGGCATACCTCTTAGCGGAAGAAGCCATGTGGGCGTCATCTCCCCTTTGCTTCAACAATTTCCAGTTGTGGACCTTAGAGATAAGCGTCCACTTCAAAGGAAGGGTATTGATAGACCAAGGGGAGACACGTTGGGTCAAATGGGGACACAAGTTTGAGGAAGAAGTGTTGGTTCAGTAGGCATGCCTCCTAGTGGAAGAAGCCATGTGGGCGTCAACTCCCCTTTTGCTTCAACAATTTCCGGCTGTGGACCTTAGAGACAAGTGTCAACTTCAAGGGGAGGATATTGATAGACCACGACGATCATAGAGGCAACCAAAACCCCACCCCAAGTACCAGAATGGAGTTTGAAATGGGCAGGGGCTAAGAGTCTTGCATGCATGGGAGTAGAGGGTGAGTGGAGTTTGACATGGAGTAGAATTCTACGGGCATGTGGGAGGATTGAGTCATATCCGGTTGAGAAGTTCTAGCTGCCACGTTGTGCATGATTTTTCTGCAATTTACTTCTTCTGTTGCACATGTTAATTTGTTGGTTTATATTGCTTTTATTTCGGCATCATGAGATCATGTTAATTTTGTTGGTTTATGTTGTATTTATTTCGGTAAGTATCAGAATGGAGTTTGAAATGGGCAGGGGCCAAGAGTCTTGCATGCATGGGAGTAGAGGGTGAGTGGAGTTTGACGTGGAGCAGAATTCTACGGGCATGTGGGAGGATTGAGTCATATCCAGTTGAAAAGTTCCAGCTGCCACGTTGTGTATGATTTTTCCACAATTTACTTCTTCCGTTGCACTTGTTAATTTGTTGGTTTATGTTGCATTTATTTTGGCATCATGAGCATGACTTTGCTTATTTAAAGCAGCCATTGTTTATCATTAAGGAATATATATATATATATATCTAGTTATTGCAATTGGGTTCATTCTCGCCCCAAGAGAATTTATCTTAATTTATTCAAGTCTGGGACCTATCATATAGTCATATTTCTATGCCCTAAAATTGCATAATCTTAAATCCCAGAATTTGAAACTTTGATGCATTTTCACTATTTATAAAACATAATAAAACATACCCAAATCCATGAGTAATCTGTTAATAGAGATTGTAGAATAAGGCAGTGTATCTCTCTCTCTTTTTCCCTTTCTGTAAGTTTCTTGTTTTTCTTCTGATAAAAAAAAAAATATTATGGGTACATTGGAACAAAGAGAGGACCCCCTTTATATACGACGATTATTTATTAATTCCCAAAATGCAATTATTTTAGTAATTTCTCCATCAAAGATAAATGATCATGATACCCTTCAGTTAATTTAATTATTGCAAAACAACCAGGATAAAATTAATACATGGACCACCTTATGTGAAATATAAAATATTTCAAACATTAAGTTCACATTCAGAGTCTACAGATGATAATATTTACAATCTTTAGCGGTATATGTTTTGAAAGTATTTTTGATATTTATTATAAATGCTTTCAAATTGTAAAGAATAAATTTTAATATTAGAATATTACTTTGAGAAATTAGTTTAATTACTTACGTTGTGCTACATAACACTTTCAAAAGTATATCGCTCTCAAACTTATTCTCAGCAATATGTATGACTTGATAGGGATGAGAGACATCAAATTAGCTGTATTATACAATAGAATTGGCCAAGTATAACGGTGCCCTCCTTTATCTTCAAGCTTTGCATTTCTAATTTTCAAGCTTATAAATGTCAAATAAATTTTTTATAAACTCTGCATGTATGGACATCAGTCAATTCAAGGAGCCATGCCTCCTAAAAGAACGCAGGTAATAAAAATTATTTAAAAAAAATAATAATAATAAAAGAGACACATCGAAGGAAACTTCTGTTGCGAGTGCTGTTAGTCACCGCAACAAAAAATACAAAGCCCAGTAGCATTAAAATAATAATTTTTTTGGGCCATTTAAAAATGAAGTCATTTACTCCTACGAATATTAAATATAGATTAATATTATTTAGTACCCATCATTTTCTCTTATTTTAAGTGAGGATTTATTAGTAATAATATATTTTATTCTTTCTAATTCTTAGACACAATTATGCGTATCCATCCTATTAAGAATATGATTCATAATTCATTATAAAAATAGTAAAATATGTTGGATATGTATTAAGAATTGTCACAAAAATTCATTTTGATGCCGATGTGTATTAAGGGTGCGTTTGGTTTCGACAATGTTTTATTACAAAAAAATATGTTTTTTGTGACGCCGATGTGTATTAAGGGTGCGTTTGGTTTCGACAATGTTTTATTACAAAAAAATATGATTACTAGTGAGATAGATAATTTTAAAAGATTAATGGGTATAAATTATTGTTATGGACTGTATTAATAATTAATGTATTTAGTTGACAGTAATTACAAAATATTAGATATTATTATATTGAAATTACCTTTAGATATATATATATATACACACACACACACACACATGGTATATATATATGGGGCATTTTTATCCAAATAATTAATTAATGAGGTTAAATAAGTCATTCAACAAATTGGGTTAATTGTTATTTGACATCAATAGAAGCACATTTGTGTTCGGAATTTTTATTAAGGGTAAAATTGGAACAAAAATAGGAAATACTATCCTTTGAGTTAGTAATCACATAACACCCTATATCACCTCTTATATTACTTGAGTAATAAAAGATTATGATTTATTACCTACAGAACTAAACAAGGAAATGCCCATATTAAAAGATAGATTACTAGAATAATCTTCTAAGGGCCCTAACTAAATGCACCCTAAATATTATTTACACTTTCAATAATAAATATACCTCAACAAGTTCCAAGCTATGATAACACAATTGTAACATAAATTCCCTTATTATTATTGATAAAAACATTTGCTGAAGATTTTTCAATTTAGCACTAAAAGAAAATATATGAAATTTTATATTTAAATTATCAAATTACCATGCTTAAAATCTATTAATAAACGAAGAAAAGTCCATTTTAATTTAATGTTAGCCCATTAAAAGCCCAAACCAACAACCAAACACATGTCCGAGACCGACTTCGCTTTTACATGAACTTGTCCGCTCTTGCATACACACCAAACATTCAGTCTCACATTCGAATACGTAACCACAAGTGTTCCTTCTCAATAACCTACCGGACACGCGTCACTCCCACAATCCTCTTCCCTATATATACCCAAACACCCCCTCCCACACTATCCCTCTTTAACCAAACCCTCATAACCTGGTTTTGCTCCTCTCCTCTCAAGTAGCACCCAAAATCTATACTCCTAAACCCTAGATCTCAGATCTCTGCTCCTAACAAAGGTACGTTACTCATTAATCATTTTTTATTTTTCTAATTATCTATGTAATTTGTAATTTTCTTGGTTTTTTTTTTTTTTTTGTTTTTGTTTTGTGATTTTGATCGGTGGTGATTGCAGATGGTGTCAGACGCGAGCAAGAAGAAGGCGGCGCAGAAGAAGGCGGCGGCGGCTGCCAAGAGAGGGGGAAAAGCAGCGGCGGCGGCCGCATCTTCCAAGGCGGCGGAGGCGCAGAATGGTGTTGATAAAGTTGCTAATGGGATTGGAGCTATTCAAATTTCCGATCGAACATGTACTGGAGTTCTTTGCTCGCATCCTCTCTCCAGAGATATTCGTGTAAGCTTTTTTTTTTCTTTTTTTACCTTCTTCGTGGTATTAATAGAATTTCTGAAATTTAGGGAATTATTTTATTTGAATTTAATTTGTGATCTCATTGCAGGTATTTTACCCTTTTTCTGTTTTTGGTGCTTTTTTTATTTTTAAAAGTTTTGGTGATGATTTCTGGATTAGCTCTGAAAATATTTAATTCTGTGCAATTTAATCTTATGTTTATTTTGAATATCTTGGAGATTTAGTAAGGTGTGTGTCACTGTTCTGCATTTTAGTTTTCGTAGATCATTTGTTGGGTGAATACAACGTGCACCTATCAAGTATATTTTTTTACCTTGATAAAGCTCGAAATATAAATTATTAAATAGATTATGAAAGTTTAGACGAGAGGGAGAGAATGAATTTAGTTTCATAGTTCTGTTGTTTAGGCTTTTTTTTATACGGGCTTAGGTATGGTGCTTTGGGACATACTGGAGTCTTTTTACAAAAGTTTGTGGATTATTTTGACTGGAGTCATATAGTATGATGTAAACCATTGATTATGAGATGATGTCTTTCTTTGTTGCAGATTGAGTCCTTATCAGTCACTTTTCATGGACACGATCTCATAGTTGATTCTGAGCTGGAGCTTAACTATGGAAGGTTTGTATTTTTCGATGGAGGTGTTGGTTGATATAAATATCCCTTTTCTGCATGCATATTTTGTATATGCTTGTGTTTATTCTTTACTTGTGTTTGCAGACGTTACGGTTTGCTTGGCTTAAATGGGTGTGGGAAATCTACACTATTGACTGCAATAGGGTGCCGTGAGCTCCCAATTCCAGACCACATGGATATTTATCACCTCAGTAGGGAGATTGAAGCTTCTGACATGTCTGCTCTGGAAGCTGTCATATGTTGTGATGAGGAAAGGTTGCAACTGGAGAAAGAAGCTGAAGCCTTGGCAGCGCAGGTGTGTGTAACTGAAAATCCTTAGATTCTCATCCTTTTTCCTTCGTGGACTACTATTCTCACTGTCAATTTTTAATTTTTCTTAGGATGATGGAGGTGGAGAGCAACTTGAGCGTATTTATGAGCGTTTAGAAGCCTTGGATGTAGCAACTGCGGAGAAACGTGCTGCTGAAATCTTGTATGGTCTTGGTTTCAACAAGATGATGCAGGCAAAGAAAACTCGAGATTTCTCTGGTGGTTGGAGAATGAGAATTGCATTGGCACGGGCTCTATTCATGAACCCAACAATCCTGTTGCTTGATGAACCCACCAATCATCTAGGTAAGTACTTATGCTGACAGTTCTGCTCAAGGTGTTTCAATTATTTTATGGACCCTATGTCATCAGATAAAATAAGATCCAAACACTGTTTGATATGTCAAAGTTTTGGAGGTTGAAGTGTTTGTCTCTGTATACGGTGTTCGCCGTAGGGCTTTGGTTCTCATGGTGCTTTACTAGTCCATTTTTTTAATTTCATTTTCACTATTAGTACACAATCTATTAAAAGTAAATAAATTAAAAAAAAAAGGTTTTTGCAATAGTTTGTTTGATTATGTTTGCTGTTTCTGTGGTGTGTGGCATAAGCGGCCAAAAAGATTCATTATTTGGTTTGTGTGAAACCTTTGCCAACTATGGGATGCCCCTTAAAATTAATTCTTAGATTCTTAAGTGGAAAATGGAAACTTGGTCAGGAAATTTGTGGCCATAAATGAGAGAAATTCTTTCAAGTTTTTCCTTGTCAAGACATTTTGGTTCTGACCTCAGAAAGATCTTTAACTTTCTGCATATCTTGATTGAAGAATAGTTTTACTACTAAAAATGTGTTTTCAGTTAATTAGCTTTTTGGTGCATTTTATATGTATTTTCCTTTCCCTTTGTGTGTTTTTCTTGGTGTGGTGGGGGTTGAGGGAGATAAATGGGCTAAGCAAGATATGGTGAATGACATTGTCTTTGTCTAATTTGATGCATGATACAGTAAATGACATTGTCTGTCTAATTCCAAGTCTGAGCAGACTTTTGACAAATATTTTTATCCATGCAGATTTGGAAGCTTGTGTCTGGCTGGAGGAGAGTTTGAAGAAATTTGAGCGCATCTTGGTTGTGGTTTCACACTCCCAGGATTTCCTGAATGGTGTTTGCACAAACATCATTCACATGCAAAACAAGAAATTGAAACTCTACACTGGTAATTATGATCAGTATGTTCAGACCCGTTCTGAACTGGAAGAGAATCAGATGAAACAGTACAAGTGGGAGCAAGAGCAGATATCTTCAATGAAGGAGTATATTGCCCGATTTGGGCATGGGTCAGCAAAACTAGCTCGCCAGGCCCAGAGCAAGGAGAAAACACTGGCAAAGATGGAGCGAGGAGGGCTTACAGAGAAAGTGACGAGAGACAAGATTCTTGTCTTCCGTTTTGTTGATGTTGGAAAGCTACCACCACCAGTGCTGCAGTTTGTGGAAGTCGCATTTGGTTATACACCTGATAATCTGATTTACAAGAACCTTGATTTTGGGGTAGACTTGGACTCCAGGGTAGCGTTGGTGGGACCAAATGGGGCTGGTAAGAGTACGCTGCTGAAGCTGATGACGGGGGAATTGGTTCCTCTTGATGGCATGGTTCGGCGTCATAATCACCTTAGAATTGCACAATACCATCAGCACTTAGCTGAGAAACTTGACTTGGAAATGTCTGCCCTTCTGTATATGATGAGAGAGTACCCAGGCAATGAGGAAGAGAAAATGAGGGCAGCAATTGGGAAATTTGGATTGACGGGTAAAGCCCAGGTGATGCCAATGAAGAATCTGTCGGATGGGCAAAGGAGCCGTGTGATTTTTGCCTGGTTAGCCTATAGGCAGCCCCACATGCTTCTCTTGGATGAGCCAACTAATCATTTGGATATTGAGACAATCGACTCCCTGGCTGAGGCATTGAATGAGTGGGATGGCGGTTTGGTTCTTGTTAGCCATGATTTCAGGCTCATAAACCAGGTAGCGCATGAGATATGGGTTTGTGAAAATCAAGCTGTTACTCGTTGGGAGGGTGACATTATGGACTTCAAGCAACACCTCAAGGCGAAGGCTGGACTGTGATTGAAGCAGCAGATAAACCGAGGATGGGTTTGAAGACCACTATATTACACTAATATTGTCAGCTATTAAAGCTTGGCTTTATTTAGGCCAGGATGATATTTTCTCATGGGGGGTGGATTATGATGAAGAAAGCTATTGAGCAGGAGGGACGAAGGCTTTTTTATTGTTTGAAGCCGATTTGTTCCGTTATTTTTTCTGCTCGGTTATTAGGTAATATTTTTGTTTACATTTGCGCATTTATGTCATGTTATACTTGGTTGGCCAAGGAGATATATATCGATACTTAAGTAGGTTTAGATAGGTTTAGAGGTGATGGCTATGAGATGAGATCTTTACCCATTTAACCCTATTGTGGTATTGGAGAACCTATAATTATGGTATTCTATATGTAATGTTTCTTTATTGACCGCCTAACTAGTTTTCTATTATCGTATAATTGTTATTGAGCCTAATAATGAATCATATGGAAAATGACGTGTTTCATTTTGTTAAACTTTTGTATCTTGAATTTAGGAGCATGTAAAAATCCGATGGCTAGGGCCTAGTGTTTGGTAAGGGCCTTTACCAAGACGAACAAGCAGAAAGTTAAAAATAGGTCTTGCATTTCCCCTGGGCTAAAGCGGCTAACAATACGACTTCAGGCTCACAGTTAAGTGTGGGTTCTACATGTAGCTAAAGGCTGGGCTGTACTTGTAGAATTGGAAGCAATGTTTAATGGATTAACTAGAAGTCACAATGTGCAAATATGGTTACGATCTATATATAAGTGAATGGAACATATTATTAATGGACATGAAAAGCTACCCAGGTTATCTCAAACCTAATATAGTATTTTAAGGGTGCAACAGATACAACCTAATAGATAGACGAGGGTAGAGGGACTGAGTGGCATGATTAACTAGATAATGTTAGCCCAACTAAGAAAATTATAAATCATGTAGAGCCATGGTCTAGACATTAATTCTTAGGTCGTAACTCTTGTGCGTCAAGTCAACAAGCTCAGCGTCTCAGCCCATAAGAGAGCGTATATGACTTTGTGGAATTCTTAAGATATTAATCTCATTCACTTGGAGATGCTTGGAATTTTATTTTATTTTTGTAAAACCACAAACATAAAACTATAAACATATTTCTATTAATCAGTCATTAAATAAGGGAAGGAGTTTCGAATAAATATCGTGAGGCGTGAAACACTATTAGATTTAACATATTTAGTAAGGCTAAGGTTTATAAATTGTAAAGTTTATCTAGTTTTAAAATCAGAAAAATAAATTTATATTAGAATAATAATAATAATTAAAAATCAGAACAATTAGAAAACAAAAAATAAATAAATAAATAAAACGGTGTCTGGCCAACGATCTAGCCAGGGTAGGCCAGATCGTGGCACCAATAAGATCTCAAATTAGCCTCAGATCAAAATTAGAATCTCATACGTCAATTGCGTACAGGCCCCTCCCCAATGCTCTTATTCTTACTGAAAAACACTATACTTACTCACTAGTTGTACTAACCGTCTTACTATTTTTGTTAAAATTGCACATGGTACCCGTACTATGCGTTATATTTACAAAGAATAGTAAGATGATTAGTAAGATGGTGAGTAAGCATAGTATTACTCATTCTAACTAGTAGTGGATTCCCTCCATCTAGGATAAGCAACCTGAGTTGTCTGGAATACCGGAGATATGTGAAAGTGAAGAGAAGATTTATTGTTTTCTTTGTGTATTATAATCACATTTGATTTTAAAACTTTCCTATTAATTCATGTTAAACTATGAAGTATCTAATTTACCCATCAATTATATCATCAAAATAAATACAACTTTCGATTCCTATTTACCCATTACTACCTGGCGTACATAGATCTTTAAAAACAAAATAAATCAAATTAGATATTTATACTTTCTGAATTAAGGAACCATGGCCTATATGTTTGGATAAAATTCCATTTGAGAAAATTATAAGAGCGTATTGAACCCTTTCTCAGTCCATTCCTTGACAACTATTTTTCCTCCTTTTTGATGGTAAATATTTTCTTTTCTAGAAAATTTGAGTGTAAATATAATTTCAAATAAAAAANGGTGACATTATGGACTTCAAGCAACACCTCAAGGCGAAGGCTGGACTGTGATTGAAGCAGCAGATAAACCGAGGATGGGTTTGAAGACCACTATATTACACTAATATTGTCAGCTATTAAAGCTTGGCTTTATTTAGGCCAGGATGATATTTTCTCATGGGGGGTGGATTATGATGAAGAAAGCTATTGAGCAGGAGGGACGAAGGCTTTTTTATTGTTTGAAGCCGATTTGTTCCGTTATTTTTTCTGCTCGGTTATTAGGTAATATTTTTGTTTACATTTGCGCATTTATGTCATGTTATACTTGGTTGGCCAAGGAGATATATATCGATACTTAAGTAGGTTTAGAGGTGATGGCTATGAGATGAGATCTTTACCCATTTAACCCTATTGTGGTATTGGAGAACCTATAATTATGGTATTCTATATGTAATGTTTCTTTATTGACCGCCTAACTAGTTTTCCATTATCGTATAATTGTTATTGAGCCTAATAATGAATCATATGGAAAATGACGTGTTTCATTTTGTTAAACTTTTGTATCTTGAATTTAGGAGCATGTAAAAATCCGATGGCTAGGGCCTAGTGTTTGGTAAGGGCCTTTACCAAGACGAACAAGCAGAAAGTTAAAAATAGGTCTTGCATTTCCCCTGGGCTAAAGCGGCTAACAATACGACTTCAGGCTCACAGTTAAGTGTGGGTTCTACATGTAGCTAAAGGCTGGGCTGTACTTGTAGAATTGGAAGCAATGTTTAATGGACTAACTAGAAGTCACAATGTGCAAATGTGGTTACGGTCTATATATAACTGAATGGAACATATTATTAATGGACATGCAAAGCTACCCAGGAGGTTATCTCAAACATAATATATTATTTTAAGGGTGCTAGTGCAACACATACTACCTAATAGATAGACAAGGGTAGAGGGACTGAGTGGCATGATCAATTAGATAATGTTAGCCCAACTAAGAAAATTATAAATCATGTACAGCCATGGGCTAGACATTAATTCTTAGGTCGTAACTCTTCTGCGTCAAGTCAACAAGCTCAGCGCCTCAGCCCATAAGAGAGCGTATACGACTTTGTGGAATTCTTAAGATATTAATCTCATTCACTTGGAGATGCTTGGAGTTTTATTTTATTTTTTTAAAACCACAAACATAAAACTATAAACATATTTCTATTAATCAATCATTAAATAAGGGAAGGAGTTTCGAATAAATATCGTGAGACGTGAAACACTATTAGATTTAACATATTTAGTAAGGCTAAGGTTTATAAATTGTGAACTTTATCTAGTTTTAAAATCAGAAAAATAAATTCATATTAGAATAATAATAATAATTAAAAATCAGAACAATTAGAAAAAAAAAAAAAAAATAATAATAATAAATAAATAAAACGGTGTCTGGCCAACGATCTAGCCAGGGTAGGCCAGATCGTGGCACCAATAAGATCTCAAATTAGCCTCAGATCAAAATTAGAATCTCATACGTCAACTGCATACAGGCCCCTCCCAAATGCTCTTATTCTTACTATTAGTGGATTCTCTCCATCTAGGATAAGCAACCAGAGTTGTCTGGAATACCGGAGATATGTGAAAGTGAAGAGAAGATTTATTGTTTTCTTCGTGTATTATAATCACATTTCATTTTAAAACTTTCCTATTAATTCATGTTAAACTATGAAGTATCTAATTTACCCATGAATTATATCATCAAAATAAATACAACTTTCTATTCCTATTTACCCATTACTACCTGGCGTATATAGATCTTTAAAAACAAAACAAATCAAATTAGATATTTATACTTTCTGAATTAAGGAACCATGGCCTATATGTTTGGATAAAATTCCATTTGAGAAAATTATAATAGCGTATTGAACCCTTTCTCAGTCCATTCCTTGACAACTATTTTTCCTCCTTTTAGATGGTAAATATTTTCTTTTCTAGAAAATTTGAGTGTAAATATAATTTCAAATAAAAAATTAATCATTTTCTTTCCCGATATATATAATTAATACTTCTTACTTCGATCAACTAACTTTTCAGACTCTGCAAGGATATTCTATAAAATTTAAAGTTTAGTCATCTTCTTCTAAGCTAATAATTTGATTTCTGAATTCAAACTTTTTGCCTATTCAAGACATACTTTGACCAAACCAAAATAGTGATACTATGCATCAAGATGCTCTATCAACTCATTTTGTTTTAGGCTTTTAGATTTTTTTTTTTTCTTTTTTGTGTAAGAATTTACGTATGGAACATGTCAGTGCTCTATTAATATGTTCAAGTACGTTGCACTGTAGCTGTCCATGACGAATCCTAAGTTATTGCTTGGTCGTCGTTTAGCCTATCCTCCTCCCCGGTCCTGTCGCTTTTTGTGCAACTGTATGTACTATCAATGCCCATGCGCGTCTAGGTCTTTTTCTCTCATGTTATTCAACCGTAAATCAGTAATGAAATAGAAACTTATATTGTATAAGCACGTTAATATTTTGTCCTACACTGTTTGGATAAATTTTTGCTTAATTAGGGTCAACACTGTGTCCCATGGTTGTTGTTTGAAGCATTGCTATCATCACAACCCAGTGAGCAGCTTTTCGGTCTTCTTCAGGGACAAAAGCTACTAAAAAGTGCAATATCATTCCAATCTACTAAATATTATATGGATTATACCATGAATCTCATAGGAGTTATTAAATAACTGCGGCTTTTAAACAACTTTGTTATGTCTGAAAAAGTAGGGCTGACGCAAAACCCAGTCAGCATAAAAAGTCAGAGCTTAGATAGGTCCGCAGCTAGTCAGAGGCAGCCACGTCACACAATGACATAAACGACATGCTCCTGTCAGGGCAATGGGTGCGCGTCAGACCAGCCAAGAGCTAGAGTGATTCCACGTGTCTAATCCCTGCACCAAATCGCGTAAATCGCTCTAGAAAGTGGGCAATGAGATATAAAGAAGGATTTGCATGGATAATCCCACCAACTCACAGATTTAGTAATCATAACCTTAACCCATCCCACTATAAATTGAGAGCTACTCTCTCATTTACGGGATTAACTAATCTCTCTAAAGAAAAATAGCATTCTCTCTCTCTCGTGTAATCATTTGTAAGTCAGTTCGTTGAACGCGACCTGATCACTATTATTAATACAAAATCAGTGGACGTAGGATTTGCTTCCTTGCGCATCCGAACCACTTTAAACACTGTTCTCCATTGCTTTTACTTTTACTCTCTCATCCACTTGTGTCTTCTGGGCCAGCTCAACATTTCGCATGCGTTTGGTTGGTGTCAAAATCACGCATCAACAGTTTGGCGCTAAA